CAGACAGAGTTCAACTTCAGAAGACATCACTTCATCATCCCTGGGCCTGGTTCTATACACTCTAAGCTAAAGCACTTTAGTTCTGTACTCACAGAATTAGGACTCCCGTGAATTAGGCAAAACTATTCATCAGAATTATATTCATAGCACACATAATGGCACACTCTTATTAACTGTTTTCTTTTAGTTAAGGCACTTATGGTTTTAAGTGACAAAGAATTTTAAAATGGCTTAAAAAAAAGGATATTTTTGACTAATGTATCTGAAAAGCCTGGGTAGATTCAGCTTCTCAGGCACAAATGGATTCCAGGGCACAGACACTTACTGGGTCCAGGTCTCTCTCTATGCCTTAGCTCAGCTCCATTCTTGGATAGGGCTCTTCCCTCATGGCAACAATGTGGTTTCCAGCAAATCCAGATTTATAGACTCATAGCTCCATGTCCACTTCTCTGTTGCAACAGTTTGAACAAAAGTCTTAGACTTGACTTTCCTTGGGTCACATGCTTAACCCTGGGTCCATCATTAAGGCCAGAGAGATAAGACACTCTGATTGGCTACAACTCGGCTACATGCCAGAATTTATTGCTGAGGGCAGAGTCAAACCATCCAGACCCCAAGAACTGAGAGTGAGGAAGAAGTGCCTCTCAGAGGAAAATCTGGTGCCGTAACCAGAAGAAGAGCAACTATTTGCTGGGTGGAATGAACAAAAGATGTCCACCATCGTTGTCTTGACTGATCCACTTTTTCTTCTGATCCATTTCCATAGGTCCGGTTCTTATACAAACCAGTAATGTCTAGATTTATGTTGGTACACCAAGGGGTGCTCCATGGATTCCTTTACAGAATCCCAGGCTTTTGCTTTCTTCTTAATGAAAGAGGCAGTCTGAAGCTTGGTTTCTTTTAAGGCCTGTGCACCCATTTCCCTTTCTCCTTTATACTACAAAAACCCTACTTTTACAAATACAAAAAGCGTATAAATATATCACATGTAAAATATAAGCCACTTTGCTAGGGTTTAAGCCAGCAAAACCAGAGACATAATGAGCTGAGCATCTTTATAGATACCGCTTTACAGAACGGTATGTCTACATGCTGCTGATGCAGAAAATTGTCAAAAACAGCCAAGCTTCAAGTCCTGCTACATTAAAAGGAATGTATAAGAAATAAAACAAAGTTGCAATTTGTTTCTAGGCATGCATCCTTCTCGTACCAGGCATTCCCAGCAGGCCATTCCAGCCACCCTCTTACGCTGCACCCTCAGCATCGTGTGCGGCTTAGGTGACGTTTTTGGATCCTTGTTTTTTGTTTCCTAGTTCTTAGGGTTATATATGTCTCTCCTCAGGTTGGCATATCACTGGTTGTTAATTCTGGTAGAACGTATTCCGTTAAGATACCCAAAAGTTGCTTAATTGTCAAACAGCAGAATAGGATTTTCCTTCCTCCCTTACTTTTCCTCCTTCTCTCTCTCTTTTTTTGGCCTTTTTAAGGGAAGGAAGTATTTAATGGGGATGAGTGAATTTTTTTGTTAGAACAGAATGAGGAAGCAAAGCTTTTTTAAAAAAAATTGATTGGAGTCTAGTTGATTTCCAATGTTGTGTTAGTTTCTGAAAGATTTTTATTATAGTCAAACATCTGAGTTATGCCAGGAGAGCGTGGGTTCATATTAGCAAGACAAAGGAGTGTGTGTGTTAGAGAAACCCCCACTGTTAACTTCTGCAAGAGAACCTCGGGCAGTACCACCATCCTTCTAAGACAGATCCAGGACACTGTGGGAGGAGGAAGGACAAAAGACCAGGGTGAGCTAGAGGAGAGACAAAAACAAAAGAGACCCAAGAGGGAGGATTCCCCTGGATGCTTCTCCAAGCTCGGCTCTGCATGGAGACCATGGAGAGGCTGATGGGATGGTAAGTGGGTGGCCTCTTTTGCTGTACTCTGGGTGTGTTTAGGTGTAGCTAATGTAAGATTGTTTTCCTCCTAGACTGTATTTGCAGGATTTTCCAGATGTTGCACGTCTTATGGTGGAGAAGGAAGAGAGGAAGAGGAAGGTACACTTGAAATTTGAAGTCAAGAGAAAGACATGCATGTAGACTCCTCTGTATGCGCTCATAAAGAGGCCATAAGCTAACTTGGAAAATAAAACCCACATACGATGAAAACAATGGAAATTATCCCCAGCTTCCAAGTCAACAGATTCGTTTCCCGATCCATCCCCCAGCAGTGTATCTTAGGAAACCCAGAAAGGTGCCACCTCCCATCTGCTTTCATTATTTTATGATGCATTTCAGAAGGAGATTTGAGATTTCTAAGAAATGGAAGTGTGGTCCAGCCAGGAAGTTTTTAAAACCCAGGCAGTGGGCTCTTTGCCTACAGCTCTCCGTCTGCCCCAGGAATGGTGCCCGTTTGCACCACACTGATCTTGGCTGCTGGGTTTTAATTGGCGGTGAACACACAAAGAGAATGGCACATGCTGGGCCCCTCTCAGAGCTGAGCTTGAATGCAAAGACTCTAGTACACAGAGAATAGAGAGCAGTTCCCAGCCTCCGCCGCTGCCAGGTGGATTTTCTCTTTGCCTTTGGGATTTTCTCTTTCACCTACTTGGCCAGGATTCTAGAACAGCTGACTTAGTCGTCTTCAGCCCTGATCGTGCACTAGAATCACGATCTGTTGAGCTTTGGAAACAAGTGCTAGGGCTGCACCCCCAGATCAAATAAATCACAACTCGGGGGATGCAGTCCAGGCATCAGCGCTCTTTAAAAGCTTTCTAGGGGATTCTCAAGGACAGTCAAGGTTGAGTCCTTCTGGGCTTTCTGGGAAGTTCTCTGTCTCTGTCTGACCCTCCACTCCTCTCCGCTTCCCTGTCTTCACTCCATCTTCCCTCCCACCCCTCTCCCCCCTTCCCGCCAATAAAAAATTTTGTGATAATGACTTACTTCCCCAAGAAAACTTCCACTCTCTTTCTAAATACTGAGAAGATCGTCTAAACTTACAGTGTTCTGTTTCCAAACATTTTCTAGGATTGTAGGAGTCTTGTTTTCAAAATGTGTATTTATAAAGTGATGTACAGCAGTTTGGCTTTACCTGTGGACAGCCTGGCTCTGGCCCTTGATGGAAGGAGATTAGGAAACAAGAGATGAAGCCAAAGAAACTTTGGCGAATGATTTCCTGTTTCCCCATTGTCCTTATTGGCACCAGTGCCCACACACAGGGCCATTTAGGACACCAAGTTCTCCGTTCATTCATTAAATACATAGATAGATACGTAGATATTTTTAGCCCTAACAGTATTCGAGGCCCCATGCTAAGTGCTAAATATACACTGAAAGAAAAAAATAACTTCTGCTTTTAAGTGCCTAAAACTTGAATATTTACTTATGATACCAGGTTTTACATTTTCAAATGGAAATATTTGAGCTGAGTCTTAAAGATTGAGTAGGAATTAATAGGGCAGTAGAAGGAAAGGAGCATTCTAGGCAGGAGGGAAAATAGGCAAAGGCTCAGAGGTGAGAAATGGTATAAGCCCTTCAGGATGTGTAAGAGGCTCTGGGGGATGGTGTTTTGCTTGCAGGTTGGCGACTGGCCGTTGACTTAACAATATGAGGCCTCCCTGCCTCTCGTGAGGGCCTCTGAGGCATGGCCCCCTGATTAAGAGCCTTACTTTGACTGAAAATCTAACTGCACGCCCCCAGTTTTTATGATTATTCTGTGGTTTTTTTCTCTCTTTTCCTTGCAGGTCAGCAGGTGTAGGGGTGTGGGAGGATAGACACTGATGAATTGCATTTCCATTTGATTCACAGGCTATATACAGCATGTGCACACACACCCTTAGTAGGGAAAACTCTTTTCCATCTAGGGATAAAGGCCTTCAGCCTCTAGTGATAAGGGCCCCAAGCCTTTCTGGAGCTGGGCCTGGGAATTGGAATTTTTAACAAGCTCTCCAAGTAGTCCCATGGTGCAGTCACACTGGGAAGCACTGCCCGTGCACAGTGCTGATCTGAGAAGGTGAAGTTCAGAGAATAATAGCCAACACTTATATAGTAGTAACGAAATGCCCAGCACTGCTTAGAGTGCTTTACTTATAGTAACTCATTTAACCCTTACTGAAACCCTACAAAGTAAGCTTATAATTATTCCCATTTTAGAGATAAGGAAACGGAAGCACAGAGTTCAGGTGACTTGCCCAATGCACACAGTCAGTCAGTGGCAGAGTGGGAACAAAGCCACTCTTCATCCACACCCTAGATCTCCTCTGTAAAGAGCCAAGACCATTAGCCAAGCTGGCAGGGAGTTCTTGCTGTGCCCCAGGCACCAGTCATGTGCTGGTAGACGCTTCACATCTGGCTCAGTGAGGGGAGGAAGCACCTATAGAATTTGTCCATTTCTGTGGTCCAGATGTCCCTGACCACAGAATTGGGAAGAAATGTGCCCAGTGATGAGTCAGCTCCAGTTCACCACCAGACACAGCTGTCACTGACTTGTGACTCTAAGTGGTGTTGGCCACCATGGCAAATGCCGGCAAGGTGCAGGCCGGTGGCTATGGAAGAACAGAAAAGGGAAATCTGTTTCCTAAAACAGTTGGGGGAGTATCAAGAGGCTTTGGAGATCTCAAGTTGTGCTCTGGGTTGAGATAATGAGAGGGCCAAGGAATTGTATTTCGGGACATGGAAGGCATGTCCTGGAGCAGGCAGCCACCTTGTGGTGTGAGGTCAAGGGTGGGGACCCTAAGGCCTTCCTGCCCCCAAATATCCTTGTCAGTATTCTCCCCACAAGTAATTTCCTCCATCTCAGCTACCTCCTCCCTTCTCTCCCCACCCCAGTTCAAGTGCAGATTCTCTAGAGAGGTTTCTTCCTCTCATCTACCCCTTGCCCTTCACAAATCTCTCACACTTGCTCCAGGGCTAACTTAAGAGGACCAGTGAGGCAGCCTCGCAGCGCATCACAGCTCTGTGGGTCTTGGGGACGCAGGACAGATGCATGCTGATTCTTTGTGCTACCTGTTTCAGGTACCAGCAGTGCTTCTACGGGGTTAACCTGTCCAGTCTCCGGGCTGCTGCGGTGGACGAATACTTCAGACAGCCAATAGTAGTAAGTGTGCTCTTTCTTCCCATGTGTTTATCTATTGATTCATTCACTTACTAACTCAGGCACCTGGGACGCACTGTGCTCTCAGGCTCTGCGCTAAGCCATCACAGAAACAAAGAGCGAGCTCCTTGGAGCACTATGTTTCAAGTTTTCCAGCTCTGATCTCCCGAGCAATTAGGAGAATTCTCAGAGAATGATACTGTTGAAAGCAAGGAGATTTTCCATCTGCCTTTCAGTAAGTAACTTCTGATTCTCCAACTGTCCCGACTCACCCCATGCACATACTCAGCCCTCATACTTGTTCAATAATTCACATCCTCCCATTGATTCTAGTGGCCCAAGGCATAATAAAAGGGGAAGCTTTGGATAATAAATAGCTTGGAACAGGAGTTTTGTTGTCAGACAGATTTGGGTTTCAGTTGTGGTCCCATCTAGCTGTGTAACCTTGGGCAACTTAAGTTTGCACTATCTGAAACTCTTTCAGTTTTAAGTGGAAGGAAACCCAACTCAAACTGGCTTAAACTAAAATGAAATTATTGGTCCTCAAATATTGCAAAGCCTGGAGACAGAGCTTGCTTCAGGGACCTGTTGCAGGAGTTCAGACAGTGTCACACTGTCTCATCACTTATCTCCATTTCCTCTGGTTTTACTCTGTTCCTAGACAGGATCTCTCCTCATGGTAGCAAGATGGCAGCAGAAGCTACAACTTCAGATTCTTACAACTCTGAGTCCCACAGGAGAGCCTGCCTTTTCCTAATAACTTTGGCAAAACCCCCAGAATTAGTTTAGATAGAGCCTGCTTGTCCTACCTTGGGTCCTGCGTCCATCTGTGAGCCAATTCCTGTCTTCAGGGGAAAAGTAATGCTCTCGTTGGCCAATCTGAGGTCATAGGCCACACTTGGAGCTGATGGTAGACTAAATTCCTATGGAACTTCTTGTAGTGTCGAGAGGAGGTAAATTCTGGATGGTCCAAAAAACACCAAATGCCTGCTCCAGAGTCGTTGGTGAGGATTAAATGATATAACCTAGTAAAGCACTTACTAAATAAAGCGCTTACGAAATAATTGTGAGCTTTTATTATTAATATTATACTCATTAAGCTCATGCCCTCTAAATTCTAACTCTTGTTGACTTAAAATTTCAGGAGGAAAGCTAGACTGCAATCCTGTTTGAGTTCAGTTTATTCTGATAGAAAGGTATCTTTGGTTTTTTTCCCCAAGGACACATTTGACATTAGGATTTTGATGGCTCGGACAGTCAAGTACACAGTAAACTTCATGGATGCAGAAGAGGCAGATCTCCACAGGTTGGTACCAACCAATGTTGCTCTTGATTTTTAAAATCTCCTCTACCCGCCCCCATCCCCCACACTTCAGGGCAGAGTTCCACAGCTCACACAGGGAAGAGATTTCAGGTGTGAGTCACACACAGGAATGGTCCATCAATTACTAGTTTCATTTATTGCAAAATGAGGGAAATGATGCCTCCTTCATAGGATTGCTTTAGGAATTGAATGAGAAAAATGAAACAGTAGTAGCTAATGCTAACATAGCCAGACACTGTTCTGAGCGCTTTACGTATAATGACTCATTTAATCCTCACAGCAACCCTATGCAGATGATACTATTTTTGTCCCCACTTCACCAATGACAGAAATGAAGCAGAGTGGAACAGTAAGTTGCATACACAGGATTATGTAAAATGCACAGAATTAATATGTGTGTTAGAGGTAGTATTGAACCTCTCAGAAGGCCAGAGTCTGGGCTTTTTAACCACTCACCCAGGCCAGTACCACAATAATGACAGGAAGAGGAGCCACACCTTGTTGAGTGCTTACTGCATAGTAGGTAACATGCTAAGAATTTTACATGCACTGGCTCATTTTCAAAGAGGGCCCTCAGTAAATGTTAGTTTTTGCCCTCCTTTTTCCACTTGAAGAGACTCTGAAATGAAGACTCATTTCTCAGGTGGTGATATGAATCCCCTTCGGATGACCTTTCATTAGTATTTTACCCTTTTCTGCCTGAGAAGATTGATATTTGTATTTTTTTTCTGGGTAAGAAATGTAAGACCCAGCTAGGTTATAATTTGCCTGGACTACCAAGGAAGCAAGAGTCAGACTTCAGAAGGTACAGCTGGCTAACTCAAACCATCATCCATCTTGAGATCATGATGCACAAAGGATGCTCTATCAGTCAGGATTGGCTAGAGCGTGCTGCAGTAACAAAACCAAACTTCAGTGACTTATGATAACACAGGGACCTTTCTCCCCTGCACTGTTTATTCATGTGCACCAGCTTTAGCTGCCTGCAGCATCGCCAACCCCAGCAGTCAGGCTGGTGCAGCAGCCTCTGTCTGTAACAAGGCTGATTGCTGAGGAAGAAGAAAGAGCATGGAAAAGCATGTACTGACAGTAAAAGCTTCTGCCCAGAAATGACACAGCTCACTTCTGTTCACATTTAATTGGTCAGAGCAAATGACGTGGCAGTACCTAAGCACAAGAGGGTGGATGAATGCGATACTACTGTGTGCTTAGAGCAAGAGAAGTGGCATTTGGGAACAAGTCTAACAACTACCACAGGTCCAGACAAAATTGACTCCCATTGGCTTTATTTGCTGCCCTGAGCTGCCTCCTGAGTCAGGGAATTTTTTGAAAATGATGTCTTTGTTGGCGTTTCAGAGATGTCATTCATTCATTTGTTGCATTGATCCAGCAAATGTTTGTTAAGATTCTACTTTGTGCTGGGTACTGTACTGGTGCTTGCACAGATACGTTAAGTAATTTCTTAAGTCTCTCCTGGAGGAGCTCATGGTCTGTTTAGGGGAATTCCAAAGGGGGGGAGGAAGTAATTACAGTTCATTAACAAACAAATTCAATGTGACAAGTATAATGGAAAACACTAGAAATGCTCTGACTGCTGCAGGGTAGAAGTTAGTGCCTTTGGAGGCACCATAAATGCAAATAATCTTAAAAATCAGATTTTCCTTTGGAAAATCTCTAGCACATTCACTAAAATGTGTCTCCCTGGAGTAGTACAGCCCCAGCAGTGGACCAATAATATCATCTTTTAATTGTGGAATACTTTGAAATTTACAAAGCGCTCTCATATACATTTTTTTCCCACTTGACACACACAAGAGCCGTGAAAGGGAAGAGTAGAAGAGAGATTTTGCCACTCTTCAACAAAAGAGGAAACTGAGGCTCAGAGAATTAAGTGACTTACCAAAGGTCCACAGCTAAAACAGGTCCAGCTTCTAGATTTTTGTTGTACCTTTTCCAACATTCTTTCTCTTCCAACTTACCATGGCCACTTCTGCATGACTCTTGCTGTAGCCTAGCGGGAAGTTAAATTGCCTCCCTGAAAAATAATGGACCCCCTTGTGGTCCATTTCATCTTTTAGGGGCCTGAATAGCCTTTCCTTTCTGAAAAGCTGCATAGGGGAGCTGCCACAGCCCGTGTTTTGGCTTCTGGAAGGACGGTTGTCAGCTATGTCCTGAGTCATCCTCCTGTTCAGTAGTCCAACCCAGCTGCGGATGCTGCACTCGCCCTGTGGAGTTCTGGGTCACTGCAGCACAGTGGGCTGGTCCTTGCAGAGTTTCATCAAGAAGCAGCATTCTCAAATGTGCAGCATCGCCCAAGCATTAATCACCCACTAAGAGAATCTTGCTGCCAAAGCAAGAGCGCTTAAGAGAAAAAGAAAATGTTCTGTGAATGTTGCCACTGATCTCACAAATGTATCCAGTATGTCTGTCAACAACAACAAAAATAATTCCAAGTGTTTCTTTTTTTTTTTCTATTTCCTTGCAGAGTAGAAATTCCGTTTGTGTTTCAGATTGCGCAGTCTGGCCTCATCCACGGCCTGGCATTCTGGTTTGACGTGGCCTTTGTTGGCTCTCTGTATGTATCATACCCCTTCCTTGCCTACTCTCGCCCATGCCATCCTCTACCATTTGTCACCATAACTTTAAAGTTTTTAAAAAACTAAGCTCAACAGCCATAATACTTGTTTCTCCACGTTTCCAGAAAATAAACACTGATGTTAATGTTACTTTTAGATTTTAGAGTGAAATGAAAATTAGACAGTTTTCCGTAGTTGCCATCTCGACTCTGGCTAAAATACTCTTAGGCCAGTTGTGTTGGGATTTGGAGGAGTCAGAAGAGGGCCTGTGCTTTATCAAGCAGCCTGTTATTTTCCACAATAGATGGGGGCATGGGGGAGGCCAGCCCCTGGCATTGTTTCCATCACACCTGGTTATAGAACCTCTTGTGTCTGAGTCATACCTCAAACCATACTTTCCCCCATGTTGGTTCACAGGTTTCAGTTTCACGATCTAGAATCCTTTTTCAATGATCAGGCAGGCGGCATTAGGTAACTTCCCCCTCTGCGCACTCCTCTCTCCCCTGCTGGAAAGGTTTGCAAGTTGTAGGGGAGAGACCACCTACTAGTTGACTGTCAGTGTTGGGTGTGCTTTTAAGGGCTGCGCTGCTCCTACGACCCCCAAGTCTCTGCTCTCCTCTTGACACCCCTGCTCTCTTCGCAGGCTTCTCCATGTGTCCCAGCTAGCAGTGAGGGTTGATCTGGGCCACGCGACCAGGCGGAAGGAAAACTGACAGTACACTCTGCTCCACTTTTTATAAAAACATCCAGGCTCTCCATAGCATCTACTGAGAAAGACGTGTCTGTGGGGCTGTGATACAGCTCAGGGGGCTTGGGAGACTCAGGGGAGGCCGGGATCCCTGGAAGCCTTGTCTGGGCTGACAATCAGAGAGAAAGGAAACAATGTACGAGTCATTCCTATTCCACACAGCATGTGTGTTCAAGGAATCTGGGCATCTATTTCTCAGACTCTCCCCCACTAACATCCCAAGTAAACGAATTTGTTCCTGCAAGGGTAAGGGAGATAAGCTTGAAGCTGCCTGCTTCAAGGGGGAAATTTCTTTGAAGTTAAATGCTTTATCTTAAAAAGCTGTAGAACATTTGCATTCTACTCCGTAATATAGCTGAATATTTATTTTGATATAAAGGTGGTTTATATTACTTAGCAGTTAAATTATATAAAATTTCCCCCCAGAATCTTCAAGGCAAAATGTCCTCTCTAGCAATTTTCCCCGTGTTCAATGTGCACCTTACTACCTGCAAGCCCATGATCACTGCCTAATCCCAGCACAGGTGACCCCAGCGTTCAAAGCACCAGCAGGGTGTCCCCACTTCTTCATATGAAATGAAGAACGTCAACTTGAACACACACATACACGCACACAGACACACACAGACACACACACACACGGGAGGTCCGGGCTTGAAAGGCAGTAGAGGCTATCTGCCCCCGTAGTTTTTCTTGCTTCCAGAAACCCCATCAGGACCCCTGAACAGGTGGGCACGAGACAGTAAGAGACTACACTCCAGACTTCTCACCCTGCCAGGCTTTTGCAACAAATCAGTTCCCAATTTAACTCTGCTGTTATCGGGCTTCTAATGAACTTTGACATAGCCATACAGATTGATAGAGTGACCAAGTGCGTGGGTTTGAAGCCTGGCCTGACTCCGTAGGGTTGTTGTAGGGTTTAATGGGCTAATTACATAATGTTCTTGGCACTGTACCCAGCACATAGTAACTGCTCAGTAAATTGAGCTGTCCGCATCTTAAAAGTGTTCCATGAGTTAATAAACAATGGAAACCACACGTCCCCAGTTCAATCCCTTAATGTGGGCCTGGAGCCTAATTGGCTTTTAACTCTTGCCTTGCCCCACAGGGTAACAGTTTGGCTGTCAACAGCGCCCACTGAGCCTCTGACTCACTGGTATCAGGTGCGGTGCCTTCTTCAGACTCCTCTCTTTGCCAAGGAAGGAGAGACCCTCTCAGGGAGAGTGCTGTTTGTGGCCAATAAACGGTAAGCAGAAGAGTACCGACGGATCCCGCCTGTTTCCTGGGCGCTGACCGGTGGGAGCGAGAGGAAGCTGGCAGGCCCCTGAGGCTCCAGCACCAGAAATGGACAGCAGGCTTTACAGAGGCCTGGCTGAGTTTGCCTAGATGCCCTCAGCCTCAAAGCCTGCAGGGCACACATCACCTTGCCCTGAGCACACCAGGAAGAGAAGCTTAAGGTAAGTCAAGGGCAGTGTTCCCCACCTGACCGCTGAGGGAGGGAGGGAGGGAGGGAGGAAGGAAGGAAGGAAGGAAGGAAGGAAGGAAGGAAGGAAGGAAATCCATCCGCTTATGGGAGCACTTGCCAAAGACTTGAATTATCAAGCACGCTTAAGCCCACGTCAGCCTCCTGGCCTTACTTCCATCTGTCTAGCCACACATCCCCAAATTTAGTACTGGGAAATCGATCTGTACTGCAGGGGGGAAAGTACTGCAGGGGTGGTGGTGTGTGAGGCAGGACCGGCTGCTTCCCTCTGGTAATGGACTCACGAGGTCTCAGCAGTGAATACTTTGACTCACCTCATTTTTAGAAGGCTCTATTTTCTTTCATCTTGTTGGAGCTTTTCCTGGGTGAATTAGCGGGAGAAAGGCATAGAGGAGTAGCTCGAGGACTCTCAGGATATTAAGGGTACTCAGAGGTCATCTCATCCAACTTTCTTCCCTCCCTACCGGCACTCCCACCCCCACCACCTTCCTTGGGCCTGTGCTTAAGCACTCCAGTGACAGAGAGCTCACTGCCTCACCAATCAACCCTTCCACTTTTAAAGTCTTTATTTTTTTCATGACAAAAACCAAACATGCTCACATGTAAGTTGAAAACTACAAGAGTGTCTAGAGTCCAGCCATGCTCCCACCCTCACCCCATCCCCCAGATGTGAGCCCTTAGTCCTTATCCTTTCAAGTGATTTTTGGTGCATGCACCAGCAAAAACATCATTGTAGAGTTGTTATTGTTTTATAGGAAGGTTACACTAGCAGCCTGCAACTTAAGTTTTCACTTAGTGATAAGTCCTGAATCTGTACTGATAGATCTGCTTTGTTCTTTTCATAAATGCAGAACAGCCAAGGACATGGATATACCATAATGTCTTTTTAAAAATCCCTGATTCACTGACGTTTAGGTTGCTTCCAATTTTTTTTTTTTTTTTGCCATTGCAAAAAATTCTGCACTAAGTATCCTTGAACATAGAGCTTGCACAGTGACATGAATATTTCTAAATGAGATGCCTAAAAATAGAAATGCTGGATCAAAGGGTAGGTACATGTTACAGTCTACTAGATCCTGCATTTCTCAGTGATTGCACCAATTTCCACTCATACCAGCAACAGATAAGCAAACTCCTTTCTCCACGTCTTTCCTGAAACTGGATGATAACTGTCTCTATGGCTTTTGCAAATCCAGTAGACTCCAAAATAAGTGTTTAAAGTTGCATCTGGTTGGTTTGGTTTATAATTCTTTAATTACTTATAAGGTTATGGCTTTTCATATAGTCATTGACTGTTGACTACTTTCTTCTACTTTAGACATCTTTAATTATTAAAAAATTATTCTTGCTGTTGATCACAGATCTATTGATACTTCCTGTAGATTCAACTCATTGATCTTAGTTATGTTTCTGAATTCAAAAGAAATAGGTCTGTTCCAACCTCCAAATGGCAGTTGTTCAAGTATTAGGAGCATCTTACCAAATATACTCCTGGTCTCCCTGTCCTCAGGCTAACATCCTCAACTCCTCCCTCCTATAAGAGTGATTTTGAAATAGTTTAAAACTCTAAGTCCTTCCCTCTGGAAATACGCAGGGTCTCAATGTCCCCTTTAAAATAGTTCTCCAGAAAAGGGAACCCTCTTGCACTGTTGGTGGGAATGTAACTTGATACAGCCACTATGGAGAACAGTAAGGAGGTTCCTTAAGAAACTAAAAATAGAACTTCCATACGACCCAGCAATCCCACTACTGGGCATACACCCTGAGAAAACCATAATTCAAAAAGAGTCATGTACCACAGTGTTCATTGCAGCATTATTTACAATAGCCAGGACATGGAAGCAACCTAAATGTCCATCGACAGATGAATGGATAAAGAATATGTGGCACATATACACAGTGGAATATTACTCAGCCATAAAAAGAAACGAAATTGAGTTATTTGTAATGAGGTGGATGGACCTAGAGACTATCATACAAAGTGAAGTAAGTCAGAAAGAGAAAAACAAATACCATATCCTAACACATATATATGGAATCTTAAAAAAAAAAAAAAAAAAAAGGTTCTGAAGAACCTAGGGACAGGACAGGAATCAAGACGCAGACGTAGAGAACGGACTTGAGGATATGGGGAGGGGGAAGGGTAAGCTGGGACAAAGTGAGAGAGTGGCATGGACATATATACACTACCAAACGTAAAACAGATAGCTAGGGGGAAGAAGCATCATAGCACAGGGAGCTCAGCTCGGTGCTTTGTGACCACCTAGAGGGGTGGGATAGGGAGGGTGGGAGGGAGACACAAGAGGGAAGGGGTATGGGGATATATGTATATGTATAGCTGATTCACTTTGTTATAAAGCAGAAAGTAAGACCATTGTAAAGCAATTATACTCCAATAAAGATGTTTAAAAACAAAATAAAATAAAATAGTTCTCCAAAACTAAATACAGGACAGCATACGTGTCCTGGTAAGTGCTGGCTACAAAACGACAGTGAACACTGCTGTTTTGAGTACCATACTTATAATAATAATGTAATTGAAGTTTAAATTAAGTTGGGGGCCATTTTACTTGAGTGTATAGGTAATTAAAAGCAAAAAGTATACTTTTACATGATCTTTAAGTCATTTCTCCCTTCTCCTAGCATGCAGCTGATTTTTGTCAGCTTCAATTCAAGTTTTTGTATTTATTCCACTCATGCATTCATCATGCTGTTTTTAGATCATTACTAGAGCCAATGGATTATCTTACTTAAAAAAATTTTTTTGCTTCCCTGGTGGCGCAGTGGTTGAGAGTCCGCCTGCCGATGCAGGGGACACGGGTTCGTGCCCCGGTCTGGGAAGATCCCACATGCCGCGGAGCGGCTGGGCCCGTGAGCCATGGCTGCTGAGCCTGCGCGTCCGGAGCCTGTGCTCCGCAACGGGAGAGGCCACGACAGTGAGAGGCCCGCGTACCGCAAAAAAAAAAAAAAAAATTTTTGTGTAGCATGTGAGTCCTGCCATTTTGTATCATTTGCAAATTTAATAGGCAAACATTTATTTAAAAATTATTAAGCAGAAAGAGGCCCAGAGAGTAAACCTTCCTTCAAAATTTGCATAGCCTAATTATCCCAAGCAAAAAAAAGAAGCCAGTCTTAGTATGTTACATACTGTATGATCCCATATGTATGACTTTCTTGAAAAGACAAAACTATAGTGATGGAGACAGATCAGTGGTTGCCAGGAGTTATGGGTGGGGAGACAGTGTGACTGCAAAGGAATAATAACATCCTGATTGTGGTGGCAGTATTTACATAAATCTATACATGTGTTCAAATTCACAGAACTGTACACCAAAAAGCGGGGGGGCAGTCAACTGTACTGTATAATTTAAAATATAAAATAAATAAGATATTGATTCAGAGGCCTATTCCACAATTAATATAAAGCTATGTTAGAAATAAGACAAATAAGTTCTGGGGATCTGATATACAGCATGGTGGTTATAGTTAATAATACTGTATTATATACTTGAAAGTTGCTAAGAGAGTAGATCTTCAATGTTCTCACAAGAAAAAAAAGAAATGGTAATTATGTGAAATGATGGAGGTGTTGGCTAATGCTATGGTGGGAATCATTTTGGAATATGTAGGTGTATCAAATCAGTGTGTTGTTTACCTTAAACTTACACAACGTTATATCTCAATTATGTCTCAATAAAGCCCCCCCCAAAAAAATTTTTTTAATTTGCATAGCCTAATCTACACCCTTTGGATCTGGCCTGGAAGCAGCTCAAAATGCCTCCACCTGTGCTCATATCCAGCCCACATTCCTCCATCCAGGCCAGAGGAAATGTGAACAGCCTTTATTGAATGTGATTCCAGATGAGCTTAACCTCTAGTTTCACCCTCAGCGCCCAGTCCAATAACACTGCGAAAAAGGGAAATGAAAGTAATTGGACACAGCTATTACTGTTCTTTTGTGAAACTATGCTGTATCTCTAGTTTTCATAACTTTCTATCTCCTTAAATGGCTCTTTAATTTTTTAATAGATAATATAGTTACACTGTACACAACACAAATGTACACAAAGCCTTACAGTGGGCTTCCCTGGTGGCGCAGTGGTTGAGAGTCCTGCCAATTCAGGGGACGCGGGTTCGTGACCCGGTCCGGGAGGATCCCACATGCTGCGGAGCGGCTGGGCCCGTGAGCCATGGCCACTGAGCCGGCGCATCCGGAGCCTGTGCTCCGCAACGGGAGAGGCCACAGCGGTGAGAGGCCCGCGTACCGCAAAAAACAAAACAAAACAAAACAAAAAGGCTTACAGTGGAAAGTCTTCATCCCGTTGCCAGACCCCATTCATTCCCCTCCTCCTGCTCCAGCGTGAAGCCACCGTTAACTGTTCCTTGTGTATCTCTTAGAGTTTCATTTTGGATATACAGTTAGAAAACACTGTACTTGTAGGAATACTTTTCCCTCTGTTTTTATACCTAAATGGCAACCTTCTATACCTGTTTGCTACATCTTAATTTTCTCACTTAACAATACATCTCAAATACATTTCCATATCAGTACATTGAGATGGTTCTCTTCCTCTACCTTGAGTTACGGTATTTGTGCATCATTGTCTTCCTTCATAAAAATTATCACTTCCTTCATAGAGGTAAGGGCTTCGTTGCAGTTTTAAAAATTTGTAACAAAATATTTGCTCACATTTTTCAATTTGTGCCATCATTTATCTACTGTGTGTTTTTTTAGCTGTTAGTAAATTTTGCACCTCTTTTTC